AGTGTCTATTCATGTCTTCTGCCCATTATTTAACTGGATTGTTTGTCTTTTTGTCATTGACTCTGATTGTCTTTATTTTCTTTTCATTTGGAAGACAATGAAACTAGTTGTGGTTTATGCAACTCTGATCAGCGGATCCACCCTCTGATCCGTGAATCCACACACTCCATCAGCAGATGCACACGTTGGTCAGTGGACTTGCACTCTGCTCAGTGGATCCATCCCCAGTCAAGGGATCCACACTCCAATCAGTGGATCCATACTCCAAGGCAAGGTCCTATCTCAAAAGATGGCCAAATGCATGCACATTCATATTTTATAATTAAAATAAGATGTTTAAAATGCATATGGTTTTATTATTATTTTAATGGATCCTTTGCTTTAACCAGATTTTTCAATTAATCAACAAATGACTCAGTCACTGGATAGTAATTCTTCAACTGTCATTAATATCAACCAGCTGCGGAGATCTGTCCAGACTATTCTCCATCCACACAGTGCCTCTACATTTTCCCCCTAGCATTCTCAATGGCTGCAGAAAAAGGAACTAAAAAATAAAAGCAGAAAGGCTGCAAAGATGCAAGAGATTCCTTGTACTGTGCACTGGTTGAGGGCATCAATTTCACTGACACAAAAGCTGAGCTAGCCTCTTCCAAAGCCCAGGCCGGTCCCTTTTCAAATAGTTCAGACACTGGTAAACTATCTTTGCTCTTCTCTGGACACAGAAGAGTGCTGTGGTTTATTACTGCATGGCACCAGGAGCCAGAAAGAACTGCAGATGTTGGTAAGCAGGCTTCACTCAGAGTCAGGAAATAGCTTTGCGGTTTCTGGGGTAGGAGGACTCAGAGCCTCCCACGAGCTGCGTCCCCCACCCTTGTGGTATTTATCACCTTAATGTCACTTCCTCAGGAAGGATCTCCATGACCTGGTCTAAATTCTGACTCCCTTGTAATTCTTTCTCAGAAACATGAGGCAGTCTGCTACTGTAAAGATTTACAGCCTTGGAAATCTTATGGGCCAGTTCTGCTCTGTCCTACAGAGTCGCTATGAGTCAGAGTTGACTCGATGGCAATGAGATTCATTTTGGTTTTGTAATTCTCTCTCAGGTCACTCATTCATTTCCTTCACAGCCTTGACCACACTTTGTTGTTTTAAATCTATTTGTGAATTTATTTGTTTAATAGCTGTCTCTCTCACTAGAGTTTTTGGCTCCATGAAGACAGGGACTGTATTCCTTCAGTTCATCATTTTATTCCCAGCATAGAGCACTCCATCTACTGCATGGCTGATGCCCAACAAATGTGTTAGATGAATGAAGGCTCGATGAATGAATGAATCTAACCGTACACAAGTCTGCAGTTATTACTTGTCACCTGGTGTTCTTGATAGCTTTTCAGTCTGTACCTGTACCACTTCACTCCAGAGCACTTAACGACTGCTCTTCCCACCCCAACTTTGCAGGATAATAGTTATCACTCTGCTTCCATTACAAGAAGAAATAAAAAGGGGTTTAAGGGCTTTCCTTGGACCACCTGTAACCAGCAAACCAGAAATATTTGACGTTCAGGTCACTGGCTTGTCCCACTCTGCAAATGGAGTTCCTGGCAAGGATAAGATTCAAAATAGCTAATCACAACCCTGGGAGTCTCTGAGTTGTGGGAACAGCTACCATGCTCAGTGGCTAATGCTAAGAGACAGGTTGATGTCTCAAGAGAAAGGCTTGGTAATCTATTTCCAAAAATATCACCGAAAATCTTGTAGAGCACAGTTCTCTGACTCACATGGGATCACCATGAATCTCAAAACACTCAAGGGCAACTGGTAACCACAGGAAGCCCATGTTACTGACCAATCAGAACAGAGACCGGCTAGAGCAGGGTTCTGGGTGCCCCCTGCTGGGCAAAGCCTTAACTTGTTAGCTGTCCTCCTTGTTGAGGGAGGTCCCACAAGTATGAGAGGAACAGCTGAGGTAGTGATGAGGGGCACTCTTATGGCTGGAGACTGCCACTATTAATAGGAAAGAAATCATTTCAATGTTTTAACTGTAAGGTTGAATTGGTAGATACCTGAAAACCAGTCCCAACCCATGGGGTCTTATATCATCACAGTGATCCTGCCTTTATTAAAAATTTTGATATTCTGTTTAGCATAGATTTTTTTTATATTAATTTTGGTGTCTTAAAATATTTAAAACATTTAAAATAAGATATTAAAATCTTATTTATACTGATCACTAAGTTTTTTGGTACTCGCTCGCCCAAATTTGGCACCCTCAGCCCTATGACCTCTCTGTGATTCAATCATGTCAGCCTCTAGATTCTGGGATTTAAGAGGAAAAGGGCCCCTACACAAACAAATGAAAAGAAGGCTAGATGAGATCCAGTCTGTTGCCAAAAAATGTCCTGGGGTTGGGGATGGAGGTCAGGAGAAAAGAAGCAAGTCATTATTTTAGACTTCCTGTCTGGAAGTGCAAGGTCTTAATTTCTGGGGCATAGACCATGGTGCTAGAAGAGATTCCTGAAAATGCCACAGATCACCTCTTCCTCCAAATGGGACCCTTAGGCTTCTCCTACTCTTGAACTCGTCAGAGATTCCACAGCCACTGGTTACAGAACAAATCTCCTTTCTGATGAATTCCTTCTGACTGGTCTAAATCCAATGGATACGTGTTATGACTTCTGCTCTGTTTTTAGTTCCTGGTCTTCATCCTTCAATATAGCTATCAAGTCACCTCCTGACTTTCTCTTTGAAGGCAAGGTAATAATATTTTTTAAGCCTTTCAATATTACTCTAATCCTTTAATCCAGCTATGAAAATAAGAATTGTTCTATGTGCCCAGAGCCTAAAAGAAAACAGTCTGACTTAAATGTGAACAGGAAGTGAGAAAAAAAAAAAAAAAAATAGAGCTTCTCTTCTGTCCCTCTAGTTCTTGTCTCCACCCCTGTTTGCTTTACATCCCTTAATATCTGGATTTCAAGAGAACTGGTGTATGGAGCTCTGAGCTGGTCAAGCCTATCGGGAGAAACAGATTTCTGCTTGATGCAGTGAAACGGCCAAAGGCTGGAGCAAGACGTTCCCTAGCCAATGTGCTTGGCAGTCCTGAGATACTTTTTAAAGCTATACATATAAAGTTGGTAATTTGTGTTTCTCTTCTTTAGACTTATTCTTAAGCATTCATTTATAGCTATATTATCTAGTTATGAAGAGGATAGGGAGCTCTGATGGCACAGTGCCTAAGGCATTTGACTGCTAACCAGAAGGCAGGTGGTTCAAACCCACCAGCCACTCCTTGGAAGGAAGATTAGGCAATCTACTTCCATAGTGATACTGCCTCGGAAACCCAAGGAGGGGTCGCAATGAGTCGAATCAACTCGACGGCAGTGAGTTTGGTTTTTATGAGGAGGGCAGGCTGAGTATCCAGAGGCAGTACTGACAGTATAAAATGAGTCTGATACTATAAAACCCAAGATGATATGTGGATGTAGAAGCAAATTTTCAAGACTTACGAAATACAAGGCAAGGGACCCAATTCCCTGTTTCTGTAACTCTTATGGAGAATGTTTATACAAGGATGAAAAGTTACAGCAATATCAATAGTTGCATACATTTCAAATTGAGATTATAAGCATAAATAAGAAGACTGTCTGCTTTTATGTTTTGTACTGGGCCAAAGTTACCAACTATTCTCAATGAGCAGCAGTACTATTTTGATTTATTTTTCAGGAGGCTTTGCTGAAGATAATTTTCAAAGAAAATGAATTATAAACTGCCGTGAAAGGGCGAATTTACAAGAGCCTGAGAGGGAATGGGTTTCTTTTGCATTGGAAAAAGGTTAGGAGTGGGAGGTGGGGAAAGTTCATGGATTATTAGGGAAAAAAAAAAGCCAGAAAAGTACAAAGACTAGCTACAGGGCAGAGAGCAGTCCATGCTTGGAAAAGCTGAATGGGGAGGGGTGGGAAAAACATTACGGTTGAGCACTAAAGCATGAAGGTTCCTTAGCCATCTTCCTGAAAAACTTTAAATAAAGCAAAAAATCATACTTACCTGATGGTTTGGTGATGGTAGCTTTTTAAATCCTCACCAATGCCAGTGGTTACTACTATCTATGTTGGAAGAGAGATACACAAAGGTCAGTCATGCTTGATACCTCACATCACAAATACAATCCTTGATATAAATTACTCACCAAATGTGCTGGCTAGGTTTTTGCCTGATCAGTTTGTACAAACTGAAATTAACAGTTTAGTAGCCCTGTGTATATTTCAAGACTTGAGAAATTTAACTTCCCCAAAAAACTTGATGTGATAAAAATACCTACAAAGTAGTTCCCCCAGTGGGTTTAAGATACTTCCAAATTCCAAGCCAAAATTTTTTTGTGATATATTTCTGCTTAAAAGTTTATTGCATAGAAAGACAGAGAAGTGTGTAAATGTGTATGATACTATAAGAAGTTTTAAAATTTTTACTCTGATCCCATTAGAGTCTAGGGGGAAAAACAAGATTAGCATTACACATTCTTCACACATTGCTGTTTTCCACCCCACTTTTCCAGGTCCCTCAAAGCACTGACTGAGAATTGTTACTTCAGTTTAGATGGTGACAATGTTGTTGTCATGAATGTTGTTAGCTGTCTCACATGAATGTTCTCTTCATTTCTTTGACTCTAACATAAGCCTGTGGAATTCAGGGGCTGCTTTTACTTCCCCAGTGAAGGTTGGGCGATCTACTTCCGTAGTGATACTGCCTCGGCAACCCAAGGAGGGGTTGCTGTGAGTGGGGGCCGACTCGACAGCACATAACAACAACAACAGCACAGAGCCAGTGGTAGGGAACTCAAACATGCGGTTCTCAAACATATTGCTACAACACTGTGTCTGTGAAAGACCAACCAATCCATAAAAACTAACCCAACTCACCAGAAATGTGGGAAGGTGCCCACTCACCATTACTGAACATTTTGATCAAAGGTTCTATAGAAGAATCCTGATCAAAAGGGGGAAAATGTAGAATAGAATTTCAAATTTTCATTGAATCCAGACTTTCTGTACCTATTGAGACTGGATAAACCCCCAAAACTGTTGCCTTGAGACAATCTTTAAACATTAAACCAGAAATATCTCCTGCAATTTTTAAAGCAAATGTTGTTGTTGTGGTTATGTGCCATGGAGTCAGACCCAATTCATAGCAACCCCACCTTGGGTTTTCAAGGCAGTATCACTATGGAAGTAGATTGTCCAGTCTTCCCTCCAAGGACTGGCTGGTGGGTTTGAACCGCCAGCCTTCTGGTTAGCAGTCAAGTGCCTTAGGCACTATGCTCCCAGAGCTGCCCATTAGGTTAGCTTAATTAGTAAAGAATGTCTACCTTGAGCGTTGTGCTCTTTTAAGGTCTATCCATATGGATCAAGCTGATAAAAGCACCTTGAAGTATTAGATAGAAAACTGAGGGGGAAGTGAGTTCTCGTCATTGGAGAAGCAACGATTCTGAAAAGGAAGGTGAGAATGGCTGTGCAACCTAAAGAATGCAGTCAATGTACTGACGACTGTACTGAATCATACACGGAGAAACTGTACAAGTGGTGCATATCCCACTGTGTATATTCTCAATCACAAAAACAACAAAATAATTACTTTAAAAAAAAATAAAAAAGAACTCAACCATTATAACATGTCAATTCAATGAAGACAACTCAAACCAGTTGTTTCACTAAACTAACCATTTATTTCAAGTCACTTGCCCATTCTGTCAAAGCAAGGAATACGTTGGTCCCATCAGAGAGATAGACTTGTGTGGACAGGCAATACGCACTGCTTTTGGATCTACTTTTGAATTAAGGAGGCATGTTGTTGTTGTTGTGTGCCGTTGAGTTGGCCCCAACTCATAGCAACCCCTCCTTGGGTTGCCGAGGCAGTATCACTATGGAAGTAGATTGCCCAACCTTCCTTCCAAGGAGTGGCTGGTAGGTTTGAACCGCCAGCCTTCTGGTTAGCAGTCAAGTGCCTTAGGCACTACACTACCAGAGCTCCTTAAGGAGGCATGGAGGGATGGAAAGAAAGGTTACTGGAGGGGATATTTAAGTGGACAAAAGTTTACTTAAGAGAAAAATCCACTTCTTTCTTTCCATCCCCATTGGTCTCCCTAATTCTTCTCTCTTGCTATACCCCATCCTGTACTCTGTTTTCAATGAATATATTTTGACTGGACATTTCTTCTCACAAACCTTCCATGACACCCTATTGCCTGGCAAGTGAAAGTCTAAATTCCTGATATTCCAGATTCTCCACTTCAGCCCAGAGAGGTTTATTCTCCTTCTTTTAGTTTTCTAAGGAGTCCTGGTAGCACAATGGTTAAATGCTTGGCTACTAACTGAAAGGTTGGAAGTTAGGACCCACTAGAAGCTCCACAGAACAAACACTTAGTGATCTGCTCCTACAAAGATTACAGGCCAGAAAACCCTATGGGGCAGTTCTACTCTGTCCTAGAGGGTCACTATAAGTTGGAATTGACTCAATAGCACTCAGCAACAGTCTAGAAACTTCTATTCTAGTCAAACTAGTTGATCTGTTCACCCCCATGGCTGTGCAGAGAAGCCCTCTCCCACCTCTCCATCTAAATTCTGCCATCCTAGGAACCTTCTCTCTGAACGCTTCTCCTTGCATGCCAGCAGGAAGTGCTGCCTCCCTTCTAGGAATCAGTATGAATCATATGGCAATTATGCTCCCTTATGACAGCTCTTCACCTGCTTAATGTTATTTCCATAAATTGTCTGTAAGCTCCTCGAGCACAGTGTTTTGCATACCAAAAAAAGAAAAAAAAAAAAAAAAACCAAACCCACTGCCATTGAGTCAATTCTGACTCATGGCGACCCAACAGGACAAAGCAGAACTTCCCCATAAAACTTCCAAGGCTGTAAATCTTTATGGAAGCAGATTGCCCATCTGTCTGTCATGTAGCATCTGGTTGGTTCAAACCACCAACCTTTTAGTTAGCAACCAAATGCCTTAACCACTGTGCCACCAGAGCTCCCTGCCTTGCATACCAAACCAAACACACTGCCATTGAGTCAATTCCAAATTATAGCAACCTCCACTGAGTTTGCAAGGCTGTAAATCAGAAGCAGATCACCCCACCTTTCCTTCACAGAGCAGGTGGTGGGTTCAAGCTGCTGATCTTCTGGTTAGCAGCCTAATGCATTCCCCACTGTGCCACCAGAGCTCCCTGCCTTGGATATAGCAGACACAAAATAAGATCCGAGAATCTGCTCTGATGATTTGATACTGCCAAAGCGACATGTAGCACTGAGCTCAGCTTCTCTCTAGGAGAAAGCAGAGACAAGCTACAATCCCATCACGATCTCATGCAGAAAGGAAGCTGAAACATGGACCCCAGCTATGTCACCTCATTATTTTTTTAAGAAAACAAACAAACATGAAAAAAAAAAAAAACCAGCTAACATTTTATAGATGTCTCTCAGGGAGGCAACAAGGACTGACCTAATTTCGTGTGTCTTCAGGAAACGGTAATGTGATAAACCAAAGCACCAAGGGAAGACTGTGTATTATCTAATACACAAGACAAACAAAATGTCTCTTCCAGTTTTATTGCAGGAAAAACACAAATCAATAACAAAAGCTGGTGAGAAAATAAAATAACCAGGAAAACGTAGGATCCTGGCATCATGTGGATCGATAAACAGAATCTCCCCAATTATAACAGCAGACTTGCTATAACCCATAAACACTGCGTTATGAGAGTGTGAAATAGTTATGCACATGGTTTTAATAGTACAAAGCAGATAAAACCTCTCTATCCCATCAGAATTATCATCGATGTTTTTTGACTATAATTTGTCTGTTTAATCTAAATGTAAGCAACTGTTTCAACTGCCAAAAACAGTCAAATCATTTGTTGGGTGAACTAACTAATGCATTTCCTTAAAAAAAAAAAAAAAAAAAAGTTGTAGATCTCATGATGCTATATAAACTTGGCCAATGCTGTTTGAATACTTATCTCCACAAAGCCAAATTTCCTAAGGGAAAGGAATGAATTGCTCAGATAATTATGGCTATACAGTTGGTTATATTATTTACTCATTCACAAGCTAGTCAAAAGAAGCACTTTAAAAGTTAATTAAATGGGGTAGGATTTGTATGCTCTAAACTTCCATCTATAAAAGTTTGATTTAGAAAGTGCATAACTGTAAAAAGTCTATTATTTACCACAATTTGCTTTTGCAGATTTTGTTGCTCCCGAATTTTACAAGGAGCTCTGGTGGCACAATGGTTAAGGCATTCGGCTGCTAACCAAAAGGTCAGTGGTTCAAACCCACCAGCTGCTCTCCAGGACAAAGATGAGGCAGTCTGCCTCTGTAAAGATTTACAGCCTTGGAAACCCTATGGGGCTGTTCTACTCTGTCCTGTATGAGTTGGAATCGACTCAATGGTAATGGGTTAATTTTACGACAATGTTGTTGCTAGCTGCCATATGACCAGAGTCTGCCCCCGACTCACAGTGACCCCATGCCAATGGAACAAAGTGCTGCCTGGTCCTGTGCCACCCCCATGATCAGATGCAGGCTGGACTACTGTGATCCAAAGGGTTTTCACTGGCTGATTTTCAGAAGGAGAATGCCAGGCCTTTCTTCCTAGTCCATCTGAGTCAGGAAGCTCTGCTGAAACCTATTCAGCATTCTAACAGCATGCACTCATCCAACGGCAGATGGCTGGTGGCTTCAGGCGAGGTGCATTGCCTAGCCTTCGAACTGGAGTCTCTCACATTGAAGGTGAGAATTCTACCACTGAACCACCACTGGCCATGGCTTTACAATGCTTCACTGTAAGTGATCATGCTGACAAGTAGTGATGGAGTTGGTGTACAGATACCTGGCCTCCATTAAAAGAGATATCCAGCCGAAACCACTCCTTCAAAGGGACGATGAATTTAGTTTTCACAGCAAGGTCTTCTCCTTTGACAAGATGCATCTGAATATGCAAGTGGCCTAAAGGGAAAGTTAAAGCTCATGAAAATGACAGAAAATACTTAGGAGTGAATGAAGTGGTTAAACCTACTCAATAACTATCCTATGAAGCTACAAGGCTTCCATCTTCTTCTAAGCAAAGCAAAACATCCATCAATGCATTCCTCTGTAAATAAGCCATTTGTTCAAGTTTAAGGTGAAGGCCATATTTGAAAGCCATCACTCTCACTGAAATGTCATAGTGACAAGTATCTTCCTTATTCTAGAGAGATGTATCCACTGCTAGACAGCATGTAAGAAAATGACAGTATCATTTGAAAGGTTCTGTTTTATACTCACCCTCTTCAGTAAGAAACACAGAAGGTGTGCCGTACATCTCATTCAAATCAACAAAATACAGAATCCCACAGAGATTGGCCTTGCAGTAATGGAGTAAGTAAAGCCACAGTGAAACAGTAAATCTGTAAGAGTGAGGGAGAAAAAAAATATTCTGCAGATTGAGATCATCCAAGAACAGGTAATTATAGTGAACAGCAACTGAGTAAATTGCTTTCTTCCCAATGAGGGGATGAACTTGCCTCTGTGTCCGTCATGGGAGATCAGCTCGCAAAGCTTGGTTTTTGAGACAAAGGAGGTTACAGTAACTGCAACAGTCAGGAGTTGAGCATCATTGTGCAAAACTAGCAGACATTCTAACTTGCACCAAAAACTCTGCTTCTGTGTGCCTCACAGAATCTCACATGCCTGCCATCTGAATTCTTGATTAAGGCTTACAAAGCCAGGCAGAGAATAAACATTTGGATTTTAATAAGACGTGATTTGATAAGAAGCTAATCCACTTTCCATGATTAAAAGAAAAAACATAATTAGGGTTTTTTGAGCAATTCTGTTTCTTTCAAAGATAAAAGCTCTAAGGTAGAAAAATGTAATAGTCTGCAAAGAGGCATCACCGCAGGGTCACTGAGATACCTGTGCATTATTTGAATGCACATGTTAGGTTGTCCGGCACCACATTTTCAGCTGACCAACATGGAACAAGTGACCTCATTAGTTCATTCTTGGACAGGGGCTATTTTAGTTGAAAAATTTTATGTTATGATTTGTGGGGTGAGGATAAAATAACAGGGGACATCTTAAGTAGCACACATTTAGCCAGAAGATGTGGTCCATCTCCTGGTCATCCAAACACTCTAGAAATATTTCCTGAACACCTACTTGGTGCTTCCCATTGTGCTAAGGACTAATGGTCTGAAGATGAGGTTGCTGTTAGTTACTGCTGAGTCGATTCCAAGTCATGGTGTCCCCATGTGTTACAGAGCAGAACTGAGCTCCACAGCGTTTTCTTGGCTATCATCTTAATGAAAGCAAACTGCCAGGCCTTTTCTTCCACAGTACCGCTGTGTGGGTTTGACCATCAACCTTTAGGTTAGCTGTTGTTGCTGTGTGCCATTGAGTCAATTCTGACTCATAGCAACACTATAGGACAGAGCAGAACTGCACCATAAGGTTTCCTAGACTGTAGTTTTTATGGGAGTAGATGGCCAGGTAGTTTCTCCTATGAAGAGACTACTGGGTTCAAACAAACAACCTTTCAGTTAGCAACCAAACCCTTAACCATTGCACCACCAGGGCTCCAAACATTTTTGCCATGTAGGGACCTTTCAAAGAGGAGAAGCTGGAAGTAATTGCATTTTCCACATTAAACATGAATCAAGGTCAAAATCAATCCATCAGTTTCTCTCCCTTTACCCCAGTTACCAAATCACAGTCTGGGTTCCAGTAGTGGCCCTGTATCATTTGGGAATGCTTCCAAAACAAATCCTTTACAATAGCCTAGGCTTTTTAATCTGGCCTCAGAATCAGTAAGATATGCAAACAGATGGCGTCACATACTCCCTCCTGACCCACCCAGCTGGGCAAGCTCATGAAGATAAGTTATTACAAGGAAGCTTAGCAAGAACACATGCTCAGGAAAGCGTCTCAAGATCTTTCTACAGCTGCAGCACGGGAAGAATTAAATCACTCTGCTAAATCCATCCCATCTGAAGTGAACCAGGAACCATTCTCTGCATCTTCAGTAGAACGGAAAATATATGGATGGATTTTGCCGAACTCAATGGAGGAGTTTAAAAGTTGTGAGAATTCAAGCAGCTATTCCAATCTTGTAGCCTCTGGGTGGTGCAAACAGCTGGCTTGCTTGGCTGCTAACCAAAAGTTTGGAAGTTTGAGTCAACCCAAAGGCATCATGGAAGAAAGGCCTGGCAATCTACTTCCAAAAAATCAGCCACTGAAAACCCTACAAGGCACAATTCTACTCTGACACACAGGGGATCACCATGAGTTGGTACTGACTCAGTGATAACTGGTTTGGTCCCTGTGTGTGTATGTGTGTATATGTGTGTGTGTGGTCCAATCTTCCAAGACAGAAAGGGCAAAGCAAAGTCTGCAAGAGGTGTTAGCTTTGGCAGGCTGAGCCCGAAGTCTTGCAAACCCTCACGCTTCAACACCTTATTCCCTACTGAGGACTGATATAAAAAGTCCACAGCAAACTGAGAATTGCTAAATGCAAGAATAACTCAAGAATAAGTTGAGGCTTTCAGATTCACTGATTTAAGTTTTGTCAACCTCCACATGCTAATTCCCAAGCTGTTTCCTCCTCACGGCTTCTGCTAGCCTGTGACTGGCCCTCAGATGAAAAGAGCACCACCCAACCACACGAGTTCTGCCTCCTTACACTGGGTAATCCATCCGCTGGCGTCGGGTGGCCTCCAGCTCTCGGTTCTGAAACCTCGGGAACTTCTTCACGATGCCTGTGTTTTCCCCACTGGAGGCATAGGGAAAGCCCAGGAGGGCAACCAAGTCTGCAAAGAGCAAAATGGTGGCCTTTCAATCATCTCCAGGGAAACAATGCTCCCAAACCACACTCCTCCTGGAGCCCCTGCCCAGCTCCACCCAAACACTTAAATGAATGAGTCCAAAAACAGTAACACACTTTTACTGGGTACTTACTATAGGCCAGGCACCATGCCAAGCATGGAATAGGGATACCTCAATTCACTTTCCTAACTACTCTATAGAGTAGATGTTATCATTATTCATATTCTATAGGTGAAAACAGTGAGACTCAAAGAAGGTAAAATAACTGCCAAAGTCAAGAGCTAAGTTTTAGGACTCAAACTCAGGCTTATATGTCAACTAGTTTACATATTGCTCTCCTGTGGTAGTTAAGTTTGTGTGTCAACTTGGCTGGGCCTGGTTGAGTGGCTGGGCAGCTGGATGTAGTATACCTCCATGATGAGACTGGTAAACAACTCCATGGTGGGATCTACCACAAGCAGCTGAGTAGCACTGCCTTAGGGATGTGGTCTGCTTCCTGTATATAAGGAGAAGCCTTGGGGATAGTGTCTAGCATATGGCATGCTTGAATTACACATGCAGCCATGTCATTGTTCAGCAGCCTGCCATGCTTTGCCAACCTTGGGACTTTCAATGCACTTGAGTTAATGGCCTGCCATATGGTTTGGTAACATCGGGACTGTGCCATTGTACTTGTCAACTTTGGGCTTGTCAGCCTCAGAAGCCAGCAGCTGAGTGAAGAAAAGCCTGCAGCTTCAGTGGGCTGAGAGCAGGAGGTAGAGCTGAAGCCCAAGGTTGAGGGGCTTTCACCCAGCCCCTAGAGCCTGGCACTTTGAACTCAGACTTAAAGCCTCCAAATTGTAAGCGAATAAACTCCTGTTGGTTAAAGCCATCCCATTTGTGGTATATATCCTTGTCAGAGTGGCATTAAATAATCAGAACACCTAATGTTAAGGAAAGCATTTTGAATCTGTGTAAAATTAACAGCTAACATTGGTGCAAACGGTTTGCACTGGAAGACTAACATAAAGTCTAGTGGTTCAAACCCACCAGCAGCACCGCAGAAGAAAAGCCTGGCAATCTGCTTCCATGGAGACTGAAGCCAAGAAAATCCTAAGTAGCAGTTCCACCCCTTAACACATGGGGTCCCCTTAAGGTGGAATCAACTCACTGACAACAGGTTTGGTTTTCTTTGGTTTAACACTCACTATGGGCCAGATATGGACCACATGAAGGATCACAAAAGAAATCACTGATTTGCACGGTTAGCATTCAGAATTGTGAAAAAAAAAAAAATGAATTTCTATTCTTTAAAGCTACCTACTTATGGTATTGGTGGGAAGAGGGAAAGGGGCATCCACTTCTCAAAAAAATTGGCCAGTGAAAACCTTATGAATAGCAATGAAACACTGTCTGATACATTACTGGAAAACTTGATGAATAGCCCTGACACACTGCCTGATATAGTGCCAGAAGAGGAGCTCTTCAGTTGAGAAGCCATTCAAATTATGACTGGGGAAGAGCTGCCTCTTCAAAGAAGAGTGAACTTTAACGACAAAGATGGAGTAAAGTTTCTGGAACCTTCATTTGCTAGTGGGGCACAAGTCAAAATGGGAAGAAACCGCTGCAAAGATCCATTAACAATTGGGACATGGAATGTAAGAAATATGAATCTAGAAAAATTGGAAATGGTCAAAAATGGAACAGAATGACTAAAGGTTGATATCCTAGGAACTGGTGAGCTGAAATGGAATGATATTGGCCATTTTGAATCAGACAACCACATGATCTACTATGCTGGGAATGTCAATTGAACAGGAATGGCATGGCATTCATCGTCACAAAGAATGTTTCAAGATCTACCTTGAAGTACAATGCTGTCAATGATAGGATAAGATTCACAAACTTACAAGGAAGACCAAGTAATACTACTATTATCAAATTTACTTACCAGCTACTAAAGCCAAAGAAGAATATACTGAAAATTTTTACCAACTCATGCAGCCTGAAATTCACTAAACATACAATAAGATATATTGATTATTACTGGTAATTGGAATGGGAAAGTTTGAAACAAAGAATCATCAATATCTGAGAAATATGGCCTTGGTAACAGAAATGATGCTGGAGATAGCATGATAGAATTTTCCAAGACCAGCATTGCAAGTACCTTTTTTCAACAATATAAATGGCACCTACACATGTAGACCTCACCAGACGGAATACACTAGAATCAGACTGACTATATATGTGGAAAGAACTGATGGAGAATCTCAATATCATCAGTCAAAATAAAGCCAGGAACAGACCATCAATTGCTCATATGCAAACTCAAGTTGAAGCTAAAGAAAATTAAAACATCTCTACAAGAGCCAAAATATGAATTTAATTATATCCCATCTGAATTTAGAGATTATCTGAATAATACATTTTGATGCATTGAACACCAATGACCAAAAACCAGATGAACTGTAGGATGACATCAAGAACATGATCAGAAAGCAAAAGTTCATTAAAAAGACAAGAAAGGAAGAAAAGACCAAAACAGATGTCAGAAGAGACTGTGAAACTTGCTCTTGAGTAGCTAGAGTAGAGTAGTTAAAGCAAATAGAAGAAATGATGAAATAAAACAAATGAACAGATTTCAAAGGGCAGCTTGAGAAGACAAAAGTATTATAATGAAAGGTGAAAAGACCTAGAGTTAGAAAACCAAAAGGGAAGAACACACTTGGAATTTTTCAACCTGAAAGCACTGAAGAAAAAAATTAAGCCTAGAATTG